TTTTTAAAGTGGTTCCTGCTGTTTGACAATACTATCTCAGGACACACAGATGTGCTTGGCATACACAGACGGATCTTTCTCAGTGCCTGGTAACTGGTAGACATTCATTAGAAATTTAAATTAGAAAACTTGATGAATTTTGAAAAAAAATGGACTGGATTACAGAGATCCCAAAGTATTATTAGTATCATTTGCATATGAAACCAGAACGACTGTCGATTCTGTACCTTCCTCTTTCAGCTTTTTCTCCTCCTCCTCTTGTACCTGTTTCAGTTGTTCGGCTTTTGTGATTTTCTTCTTCTTATTGGCAGGCTTGACAAAGACCACAAGATTAGAAGGGCTGTTAACATACACCCAGGTTACTTAAAAACACGCTTCCTTAGGTAGCAATTATGAGAAACACTTCTGCTCAGGACACGTGTCTTTCCTGCCTCTTTTCAACAGACGAGACCGCCGAGCGGTGCAGGGCCTTGACTCAGTGCAGCGCACGACTGAGACTGAAAACTAAAGTAAGCGCATAAATTACGCAAAAGCAGGGACCACCGTTGTTATTGGTTTAGATCTAAAATGTCCTCTAAAAGTCTCACGTGCTCACGAGGTGACTGCACGAGGTGACTGCACGGGGTGCTTTGTACTGCTAAGCGCTGCTGGGAGGGAGGCGGAGCTGGGTGGAGGCGGTCACCAAGGGGCCACCACGGACCAAAACCGTGAGCCGAAATACACATCTCCCCCTTTAAGTGGTGGGTGTCGCCTATCTTGTCCCCGCAATGAGAACGTATCAACAAGGACAACACCACTGACAAGCATATGCAATTTAAATCAATCTTTCATGCCCAGTTCCCGAATCTTTAAAAAGAAAATCTCATCTTGTTGTACGCAATCAAGTACACGTAAAAATAGTTGGAAAACTGTACCTCTATTTTTAAAAAAGTATTTTAGTGGTATTACGGTTATTTTGCTTGTATAGAAGAAGGATTGTTTTTAATAACAGAGTTCAAGGAAAATGTTTATAGAGAAAGTGGCATTTGATTTCATTCTCAAAAGATTTTAGCGGGCTGGTGAGATGGCTCAGTGGTCTAAAGCGCCTACTTAGAACAAGCTAAGCTAAGCAAAGCACAGAGATCACGGTTCAATCCCCCAGCACCACATGCCAGCCAGCCCCGCCCCCTGGTGGGCTGAGCTGGCCACACACACACAAAAATATAAATAAATAAATTTAAAAAAAAAAAGATTTTAGCACTTGGGGGAAGATATCTCAAGAAAAGAGGAACATGCTGTAAGATAGAGTCAGAAAAACTCTGGGTAGGCCAACAAATTCAGCAGGTTCTGGTAAACTCTGTAAGAGATGATGAAGGAAACGGGAAAAAAAAAAGAGGGATCCAGCCTAGTGAAAAGTTTGGGCACTGTAATAAGAGAATGAACAACTCTTACGTGTTTTGAGAAGGACTGTTGCTACTAAGAATATAAGTTTTGAAAACTAACCTCATAAGAGAAATATAAAGTGGACACCACCTGGGTACCTAGTAACAAGAATTAATAAACTAATATCTCGGCAGTGGAAATCAGAAATGTATAAGCTAAACTATTATTATCATTAATGTATTGAGTATTGAGTACAGGGTCTCACTACAAAGATTGGACTTGTAGTGATTCTCCTGCTTCCAGCCTCCCAAGCGCTGGGATTACAGGCACGCGCCACCATGCCAAGTCTCAGTCTCCATCTCAGTGTGCCCCGGGGATGGGGCCTGCACAGCACACTGGGGATTGAACCCCAGTCCCTGTGTTTGACTAAGCAGGCACTTTAGTCCCCTGAGCTATTTGGCCGACCCTAAGCTGACTTTTTAATAATTAAAATTGGAAGAAAGAAGAGGAAGGAATCAGAGGGGAGTCTGTAAAGAAAAAGAAATAGAAATTTATAGACTTTGTAGGAAATGCCGATGGATAATTTCTAATGCTCAATTAAAACTTCTCATCAAGGGGCTAGGGAGATGGCTCAGTGGAATAAGTGCTTCCCTGGCAAGCACAAGGACCTGTGTTCAATCCCTGGTTCCGCCAAAAAAACCCTTCTCGTCAAGTCATTTTAAGGTGGTCATGATTTTAATGCCAAACTGTCAAGTCGCATGTTATTAATGGAAAACCATATACTGCCAAAGTTGATTTTTTGCCCTTGATATACGCTATTTATTAAGCACTTACGTTACCGCTGTTTGATTGCACACCTCCACAGCCCCCTCCTTCTCAGATGCCTTGGCTGCATCTCATGCTCAGCCATAGCTAATCTACAGTGTTTAAAATTATAGTCTTTGTTCACATGCTCCTTAAGTACTTATTACACATCTTAACTTGGCATTGAAAACCTTTCATCGCAAACTTAAAGAACTGAAAATACACTTTCAAGTATAGGGTCTATAAATGGATGCCTTTCCAGCCCTATTAAATTCATCACTACTTAAAATGAGTCCTGTGGAAACCTCATATCCTACTGTTTAATGAACAATATCACCACTTAAAAATATGACAAGCGCTTCCTTAGCACAAAAAACTTAATTCTTTTTCTCCTTGAAATCCTGTTTCCATTCTACTTTCCTAGCAGATTATAACCTTAATGTGATACACTTGAAAAACTTTTGTTGTTTCCTTGTTTATTTGGTACAAGAATATGTATGAGAGTTTAAAACATTTATTTTCCGTTTCTCTAAGTATTTTCATTTTTCCCTGGATTGAAATAATTTTATATAATTTTCAATATACAACCAAATACAGCAATATAATATATTAAGTTATCGTAATTGAATATCATACATAAAAGTAAATTTTTCCTGGCTATACCTCTCTCTCTCTCTCTCTCTCTCTCTCTCTCTCTCTCTCTCTCTGTCTTTCTCAGTCTGCCTCTCTGTCTCTGCCTGTCTGTCTGTCTGTCTGTCTGTCTGTCTGTCTGTCTGTCTCTGTCTGTCTCTCTCTCTGTCTGTCTCTCTCTGTCTCCCCCTCTCTCCCTCTCTCCGTGTCTCCCTGTCTCTCTCTCCATCTCTCAGTCTCCCCCCCCCACACACACACAGGGTCTCACTATGTAGTTCAAGCTGACCTGGGGGCTCACTTTGTAGCCCAAACTGGTCCTGAACTTGCAACTATCCTCCTGCCTTAGCGTCCTGAGTGTCATTAGCTCATTATCCATGTAGAAGTTTTAGCTGTTATTCAGTTTTAATTTTAGAAGTACGAGGAATTAGAAATCTGATTTAATATTAGAAAGTCAACAGGAAAAGGTAATAGAGATGTAATTCGTTTTTTAAACTCTTGTGCCATTGCCAAAAGTCACGTATTAAGTTACCATAAATTAGCCAAGCCTGGTAGAGCCACGGAGTGCTTGGCATATGTCCCACAGACGTATGCCATTTACCCTGGTAAAGCCGCCCACGTGACTACTGGCGCTCTGAGCCTGGTGTGTGTCCCCCAGGGCCTGAGGACCTAACACTCCAGACTCCAGATACCTGCAGAGATCACTGAGATGCTCGTACACACTTGAACACGGGTGTTGTTGTCCCTGAGGGACTCATGTGGAGACTGCACGTGTGCACCCACCAGCACCAAGCCCAGACCCCCTACTGAACCAGAACCTTGGGACCCACCTGCAGGAGCAAGTTTTTCCTTACAATAGCTACTCCACACAATCAGAGAGATGAACATTCTGCAAATGTACAGATTATCAATGTAAAACAGAAACAAGCAAGGAAACGTAACATCTCTAAACTACCTCAACAGTAACAGATCCTAACTAAATCCATGAAAAAGAAGGAACATTAAAGCAAACAAAAACATAAACCAAAAAATAAGAAAAATTAAATCTATGAAATGCCCCCCCCAAAAAAATCAAAATAATGATCTTAAAGAAACTCAGCAAGATACTAGAAACCACAAGATAGATAATTTACTATCAGGAAGGTAATTTATAATCTACATGAAAATTTGCAGAGACACCGAAATTTTGGAGCTGAAAATCTAATGAGTAAAACAAAAATATGAATGAGAGATGAACAGCCTGAAAATCTAACTTAAACCTGGACAAATGTTCTGGAAAGTAATTTTTTAAAAGAAATACAGGGGCTGGGGAGATAGCTCAGTAGAATAAGTGCTTGCTTGGCAAGTGTAAGGTCCTGAATTCAATTCCTAGCACCACCCAAATAAATAAATAAATAAATAAATAAATAGAAAGAAAGAAAGAAATACAAGTGGAAGGGCTGGCCAGGCGTGGTGACCTGTGCCTGTAATCCCAGCTCTTGGGAGGCTGTAAACAGGAGAATCACTATGAGTCCGATCTAGTAGTAAGACATTGAATTTGTAGTGATTCTCTGAAAACTCCCGGCCCCTGTGCCTGCTTGCAGGTGCTTTAATCTGCTGAGCTATTTGGCCGGCCCTTCCACTTGTATTTCTATTTATTTATTTATTTATTTATTTATTTATTTATTTGGGTGGCATTATTTATTTGGGGGATTGAACTCAGGACCTTGCACTTGCCAGGCAAGCACTTATTCTACTGAGCTATCTCCCCAGGCCCTGTATTTCTTTTAAAAAATGAATTTCCAAAACATTCATCCAGGTTTAAGTTCCCTAAAATACAGAAAAAGAAAAAAAAATAAAAAAAAATACAGGTGGCCAACAAACATACAAAAATGTTCAACATCATTAATCTCAGAGAAATGCAAATCGAAACCCAAATGAGATGCCAGGTTACCCCTACAGGTAGGATGGCTGTTGTTAAAGACAAAAATACCAAATGCTGATGTGAATGTGGAGAAAGGAAGACCCTGAACACTGCTAGTGGGTGTGGTAACTAATTGTTAATTTGGCTGGATTAAGCAGCCCCTTGAGAGATAACTAGATCAGTGGAACATTGTGCTCGCCCGTGGGCGAATTCACTCCTGTTTGTGGCTGGTCATGCTGCTGAGAGGCGGGACCCAGACGAGGACGGGGACTGCTGGGGGTGGACCCGGAGTGGGGTCTCTCGCATGCACCCTTCCCTCTGTTGCCCCTCCTGGTTGCCACCGGTGGTGCAGTTTTCTCTGCTGTACCGTTCTACTAGTGCTGCTTCTGCCTTGGAACCACAGGGACTGAGTCCACTGGGGCCATGAGCCAGGGACCCTGCCTTCCTTTAAGTTACAGCTTTCCATTTTCCCAGCAATGGGAAAGCTAATTAGTGCAGCCACTATGACAAATAATAGGGAGACTTCTCAACAAAATAAGAATAGTGACCGCTGTTACATAACCCAGCAATCTGACTACAGGGCATACAGCCAAAGTAAAAGAAATCATTTTGTCAA